AAGTTAATCATGAGCCATTCTGTATGAATCTCGAAATATGTGGAACTCTTAACGTAATATTTCATATTGTCAATATTGTAGTTTTCAATCATCAGTAGATCTCTTTAAAAATCAAAAACAATTGAAATTGATTACATTTCGACTAATACAATCATAGCATAAAAAAAGAAATTCATTTTTTTTTTCTAAGTTCAAGATAAAGTAGATGTATTTTTCTAACTTTTAAATGAAATATTTGTTTCATTCTTTCTTTTTGAACTAAAAAATTTTTTAAATTAAATCTAAAAACAAACCGGTTTGTTTTAGACTTGCAAGATATACTTGTTGTTGAATTTGCATAGGTGCTTGATGTTCTTGTAATAATTTTAATATATTTATTAAATATTCCGTATTTTTGACAACAACTTTAAATTGTTCATAAGTTGTTTCTAATAAATCTCTTAAACAATCAGCATTATTAAGAATTAAATTTTGATTTAAATTATTTGATACAATTAAATTATTATCAATAATATGTTGTGTTGTACGTAAAATAATACGATATAATTGTTCAGGAAATTGTTTTTGTACGAAATCAAGTGTTTCATTTAAATTTGATAAAACTGATAAGGATTGTAATAAAACATCTAAATATATATTTGATGGTTGATTACGTATATCGACTAACATATATTGATCTGGTATGATGGCTAATGAATGAGATTCAAATGATAATTTTCCTTCTTCAAATTCTTGATCAAGTTGTTTTCTTAATAAACGATTTTCTCTTAAACGTGATACAGAACTTTGATCATGTTTATTTATTGTTGTTGATAAATTTTTATTTCCAAGTACATCACGAGATGGTTTATCAAATAATTGATAAATTAATTCAAAACGTAATTGATCTTCTAATGTTAAACGTTCATCTTTTATTTGTAAATCAATATTAGATAATGCATTAATTAAACGTAATTCTTGATATTCTTTTGCTTTTAATAAAAGTAATGATGCATGAATATATAAACGTTTATTTAAATAAAATTGTAAACGTGATGGAACATGTTTTAATTCATATACATTTAAATACATTCGATCTAATGTATTTTGTTCTAATGTTAATAACCATAATTTACGAATATCTTGTCGTTTTAATAATAATAAATTTTTACATTCACGTAAAGATTTACGAACATTTTCTATACGATTTTTTGACTGTTGTATACAATTATAAATATCAGAAAAATTTGTTATTAATTCTCCTAAATCTGTTGTAGAAGAATTTATACAACGTTCAATAGCGGTATTTGAACGTTGAAAACGATCTTGAACAAAACGTAGTAGTTGTTCACGAGCCTAGATTTTAAGAAAGAATATGTCAAAGATAAGGAAATGACAAAAGAAAAATGACACCTCAATATTTGTATTGAAATTTAAATCTCGAATTATTTTCATTAATATAAATGTTGTTGATTGACGATCCATGTTAATTTTATTTTACCGGTTTAAAAACGAACAAGAATACTTAATAAATAAGTAAGTAAATGTATATTAAAATTAAATCAATCGTATCAATAAACAAGTGATCAATCAACTCTATTTTGATTGGTCGATTTTTTTATCCAATATTCTAGTCAATGTGATCCTCCGTTTTAGAAAGAAATAATATAGTGAATGCTAAACGTAATTGTAAATTTTAGTCAATATTTCTAGTCAAAAATGTAATAAATACAAGCAAAATCTATATAACACAAACAAATTTACTCACTATACATTGTTTCTGAAGTTGTTCAATAGATTTTAAAAGTAAAAATTTGTAAATGAAAACTTATTTCGATTGTTTATAATACTCTGTTAGCAAAGGCAAGAGAATGTTTTCAGTGTAGGATAGATTCAATAGTTAAGGTAAATTAGTCCAGAGAGCAAGATAGAAATATATTGTCTTGATAAGTTTCAATTTCGTATAAGTTTAATAGCGATCTAATGCTTTATTGTTTCGAATGAAATCTGAAGCTCAAAGAAATAACAGAGAAAATGCTAATTAAAAAGTAGGCTAAGAAGAAATAAAACTATTCATGATGAATAAGGGTTTTTTTTTCATATTTCTATTTTTGAAATAGAGTCAGACATATGATATTCAAGTCAAGAACATCTATTTTTTCTTTATGAATATGAGAAATAAAAACAAAATTAATAAATTGTTGAGTCATTGCACAACGTAAATATGTTTTTATTCGATTTATAAAACTGAAGAATTGTTCAGCGATAGTTTTTATTATGAATAACTAGCAAGAGCCCGTGCATACGGCATAGCTGTTTTTTTCCTCTAACATATGATATCGGACGTTTAACTTTTCATCAGGTAACGGACATAGAGACACTCGATGTTATGTATACGGATAGGTAGCCGTACGGCCTAATACTCTTTTATTGTACATATTTTTATAGTCCATTAGCGGTCGGCCTTATAGCCCTATATCCCTGGCAACTCTTGTAGCATTATCCTCTTATTACTTTACCATCTTCTTGCGATGCTCCCTTCAGGACCTATGGCTATCCCCATATAATAGCTCTTGAGTACCTATGGGTTCCCCCATATAATAGCTCTTAAGGACTTATGGGAATCCCCATATAATAGTTCTTAAGGACCTATGGGTGCCCCATACAACAACCCTTGAGGACCTACGGGTACCCTCATATAACGGCCCTTGGCGACCTATGGGTACCCTCATATAATGGCTCTTGAGGACCTATTGGTACCCTAATATAGTAGCCCTTGTAGCCTTATTTGATCTTTGACCCAGCACAGACAGACAGACACTGAACATTATATATATAGATGTCAAATATAGGAATAACAATTTACTGTATTTAGAAAACATAATTTTGCTAATTTCTTGTCTATTTAAAGATAAAATGTGCACTGACTTCACTGTAATAAAAAATTTTTACGTATAATAGAGCCAACTCAAGTTTTTATCTCTACAGTCTACAAGTCTACTCAGATATTGTAACTTTGTCGCATATGTCTATTAGATTTTTTTTTGCTTGTTTAACTTTTCCTCTTCATCAAAAAACAATTTGGTGTAGGAACATTCAGAATATTTTAGACCCATGGCAAACAGATTATGAAGAAGTTTTCAGCTCGATATCATAATATTCTCGGAATATATTCATCAAACAAAGATCAAAAATTGCTAAAATTTTTTTTTTGTGAACTTATATTAGAAGGAATTGATTTCTTTTGGTTTAGTGAAGGAATATTGTTTACATAGTCTGACAAATACATTATTTTTGTAAGTCTTTTGTTTGACGCTAAAGAATAGTAAACGAATAAGTTCAGTAAGCAAAGAAGAAAAAAACGTTCTATAAAAGAGTAGTATAGATCGACTCTTTTCAAAAGATATTTTTTATGCATTAAAGTAAAATTTTGTCAATTTCTACAACTAAACAGGATCTTCATAACAATGAAAAAGACTAACTATGTTCAATGAAGTTTGTTCGAGACTTTGACCTTATGCAATCAAAGAAAGTTTAAATTGGGAAACAGTGAAAAATACAAACTTTGAACATTTTTAATTTAAAAGTCGACTTTGTTTAACATCAATATCATTTTATTTTTGTCAAGAAGAAAAATTAAAACTACAGATTTTCGTAAAAATAATAAGTCGACGAACAATCACATTAAGTATCAAATTCTATACATTAAAGTTTGTAATCATTTGTACTATAATAGTTTTATTATCAAATGTTAATACAATATTGTAATATTTGAGAAGTAGAAGAAGACAAAGTTTCAAGTTCCCAGTCAACAATCATTTCATCAAATAGAATAAAGGTTTTTTTTTCCATCATTCTAAACTTATTTTCTAAAGTATCTAAACATTTTTTATAAGATCTTCAAGGTTTTACGAAGAATACTAAAGTTTATTTGAAGCTTTATACTCCGCATATTGATACATCAAAATAATAGAAGGGTGTTCATCATGAAAACTTTCCTGAAAGTAAACAAATTTTATTCACAAATAAACATAGTTTAGCAAAACAAAAAGTCTTCCGTCAGTAATTGTTCAAAAAAAGAAACAAGCCAGAACCGATCGGTACGACGATGCGTAGTTCTAGTATTGAAATGTTTTATGTTGTACAAAACTAATTGACACCATCATTGAATTTCAGTTTAAATGTGTTTTTTTTTGTCAATATCGATGTAGATCAATTCACATTGACCTCTAGTCTTGAATAATCAATGTTTCTTCATCATTTTAACTACGTTTATTTTCGTTGGCAAGCACTGAAAATAAAACTTAAACAGCATTCTAATCCATGGATAAAAATCATTTATCCTTACTTCATAATCGATAAAGTCAATTCGATTCTTTCGATTGTAATTTATACATGAGTAAAACAGTTTCGTATGGATTTGAATGTGAATCGACTTGATTTTTGTTGAAAAACACAATCAACCAATATGGTAGAATAATTCACTAGTGCTGATGATGAGCAAATAGCACGCAATTCAGCTAGATTGAACTCATTATCAACACTCACAAACATAACTCCATTCTATTTTAAAACATTCGTAACTTGAAGTTATTATTTGCTTCATCGGGATTTGAAAGTATGGATGTGAATCTTCAGTTCATCCGTACTATCGGTTTGTGTATCAGTTATTTTTGAATGCTTGTATATGTTTTAGTCTTAGATCTAAATGAAAACTTTAAGTAACATAAACAAAGAATGCCATAACGAGATGTATCATTAATAGATGACTGTCGATTTGAAATAGATATTTATAATTCTAATGCTGCACTGGATTGAGTTGAAGGTATATTTAACGGATGAATTCTATTCATATTTGAATTAAACCAACGTTTGAACGATTGAAAACATATTTTCATAAAAAAATATTTAACTTGACGACGGAATCGTGACGATGTAATAAAAAATACATAAAAGTTTACCTATACAAATTATTATTCCATAAGTTTAAATAAAATTTAAAACAAAAATCTTACCGCATGATTTCCAAGCATTAATGATATAGTAATTGCTGAAATTAATTGAACAATTGCATAAGGAAGGCGATCTATTGAAGGTATATTGACATTAAGTATATATATTCGATACATTGTATATGGCAATAAAAGAATAATAAAGAAGATGACACGTACAAAAATCATTGCTGTCAATTGATGATCAAGTTTACGACGTACAATTGAAATTTGTCGTCGAACTAGACGACGAACATTACGATAGGCTAATAAACTGAATAAAGATGAAATTAAAATAGGAAAAAATCCATGCAAAAAAATATAATAAACAAAAGAATAATAATATTTCAAACCATTGTTAGTTATTATACAACCAAATGATGAAACAATATCATAGAATATAATATAAGGTATAGTTTGTAAAATACATAAAATACTTGCTACAATAATTAAATATTGTGCAAGTTTTAATGTACTTAATTTTCGAAGAAAAAATCTATGATGAGTTGTAAGATATTGATCAAATGCTTCAAAACATACTATATAATCAATAAGAAGTCGAGATGATTGACCCAATGTTGTTCTTATTTTACAATAGAAAATCGATATATTTCCTGGATCAATTCCGTATGTTATTTGATACATTTGAAGAATAAACATTTGTATTAAAAAACAAAGACTAACAATAGATTCAACAATTAAATAAAAAGCACAACGATTGCCTTGAAAAGTTTTCATTTTAGTAAATATACAAATGTTCAGAATATTACCAATCATACCAGCTATGAAAATAATGATTGTAGCATAAAAGGTAAAATTTTGTGCAATAGCAAGAAGTTGAATAGCAACTGATGTGGACATTTTGTTTTGATTCAATAAATGTAGATTTAATTCTTTCTTCTTATTTGACTTTTCTATGTTTTTACGTCGATTCTATATGCTAGATTATTTTGCGAACAACTTTATAGAGCAAAACTGAGAACAAAAAAAATAACGGCTTACGATGATAGGGTTGGAGAATACACTGTTACATCAGATATTAATCAAGAAAACATGAGAAGTATAGAGATGAAATTCAAACTAAAATAAGCAACAGAACATTTCATTATATTACCATTAATATATTTGTACATTACTTTTATAATTTTCTATTTTACTCTATTGCGATTTTCTTCTAATCACGATTTATTGTTTGTACAAATTAAGTACAACGAATATTTCATTATTATGTCTTCATGATATCATAAAAATAAACTAATCGAACTAAAATAAAGATATCTATTAGTGACACACTGACGTTCAAAGAGATATGTTGTTATATCTAAAATGAAATAAAAACTGGAATTATACCATCGAAATTTGAAATAGTATTCTTTTATATTCTAATAGAATTTTTTATTTTCATAAAAAATTAAATATACGTTCATAATAAACAAAGATGATTAACTCATATTTACAAAGAGAAATTCTCTGATAATAATTCTTAATACATGA